ACCCCCAACCATAAAATTATTTGTTGAGAACCACTAGCAGGGTTGCCTAAGACCATCGGAAAACACAGATATTTACATTATGATTCATAACAGTAGCAAAATTATAGTTATGAAGTAGCAACAAAAATAATTTTATGGTTGGGGGTCATCACAACATGAGGAACTATATTAAAGGGTCACGGCGTTAGAAAGATTGAGAACCACTACTCTAGAGCTAGATGAGCTGTACCCCTAAGACATGGCCTTTCCAGTATCTCTACTAAGTACCTCTGATGTTCTCTTCATTTTGGAACTTAAATTTTTCCCAGCCCCATGTGAGTTCAGTTAGTTGCTTAAATCATAGCTCTATGGTAGTTGTTTTGTCCTCAATAGTTGTTCTTTGTCTGACATTGTGGAGTCTTGCCCTGTACATGCACATTTTTTGGCCAAAGACTCAAGGGGACCTCTGTCAGATACTGCTGCCTTCTGGCTAGCTTCCTTCTCTATGCTATTCCGTTCTGCACATTTCCACTATTTTTAGGAGTCTTAAACATTGATCTATCTTTTGAGCTCTGCAAGTCTGCTGTTTTCTGTTTGGGTTCCCCCTCCTTGCATCACATACTGGATAGCAAGTCTGGGCCATCACCTTGTTTGTTTCTTTTCCCTTAAGGATTAAAGTTCTAGGATACTTGTTTTTCAATTTCTGAAAACAATTATTTTAATCATCTTGTCTAATTTTAAAATGAGGACCAGTGTTCTATCTATTATGGTCATACCGTGCTGCTTTTGAAGGGAGCGAGAAATAAATAGGAAAGTCATTGAAGCATTTAAAGCAGACTAGTGTCATGATTTGTTGATGCTTTATCAAGATTACCTCAGTGCTCTCTTGAAAATGGACAGAGGAAATGGAAGAAAACTAATAGAAACCATTATAGTTATCTATGCTTAAACTAGGCTGGAAATGGAGTGAAACAGATAAATTTAGAAAATATTTTGAACCTAGAACAGGATGTGCTGTTGAATTGCTGGTGGGAAATGAAGATCTGGGAGGAATGAAAAGAGAAATGATTGGTGTTTGGCTTGTGCTACTAGTTGGTCAGTGCCATATGTAACCAGATGGGGAAGATAACTCTTTAAAGAGAATATCAAGAGGTTTTTAAAATTTTACTTAATAAAATAAGTTTGAGTTCCCTGTTAGATATCTAAGAAGAAATAGCAGATGAACAGTTGAAAATGTGAGTCTTGAAATCAGAGCAGAATGCAGGCCTAGAAATTCATGAGTACGTATTTCAATTTAATTTTAAGCAATATAGATTAGAAAGTTTAGATAAAAAAAAAGAAAAGGGTTTAGGATTGATCCCCCAGCTACTATAGTCCTTGGGGGTCTAATTTAGAAGCAAAAGCATACAAAATAAACATAAAGAACAACTGAAATGATAGAAAAAGAAGACTGTGGTGTCATAATAATTAAGAGGAAATATATATATTGGAGGGAATGGGCTTTGAATGCCTCTGAGAGTTCTGGGAAGATGAGGACAGAGCCCTAACCACTCTAAATGGTTAGAGCATCAGCCCACACACCGGAAAAAAAAAAAAAAATCTATATGAATGCAAAAGCCTTAAGTAAGGAGCAGGGCTGATGTAGTGAGGAAAAGCAAGGAGGCTGGTATGTCTGGAGTCAGATGGGGAGGCATGACAGTGTTTTGAGCAAAGGAATAACAAGATCAACTTTATGTTTAAAATGGGTGCTCTGACTGCTCTGTAGAGAGTGACTGTAGGGATGCGAGATAAAGAGAGGGGAGTCTGATTGTTATGGAATTAAAAGGTATATTTTTGTTAGTGGCTCACTCCAAGTAGTAGCAGTGGAGATGTCAAGAAGTGCTTGGATTTTGGATATATTTTGAAGATAGAGTTAACTGGATATCCTGATTGGCTGTGGCTTGAAAGAAAAAAGAAGGCATTAACCTGTTAACCGAGCGGGACGTATAAATACGTCAAACGTAAACAATATCAGATACAGGTAGGACATATGAATACGTCCTTGAAATATATGTTGCGCCCTGAAACGGGCAGGATGTATATTTCCGAACAACAAAGGTATTAGTCATCTATACATGTCTCGACATGAATTTAAGACACGGAGGGAATCAATATAATTTCGCTATTGAGAGTAGTGGACGTGTTCTGGGTGAGCAGTGACGGGTACGTACTTGCACTTACCTACCTATTTTCGTATTATATATTATTTGCTTATATTTTTTTATATCTCCAACCTTTATATAATAGGAAAATATATAAAATTGATCTAATCATCAATAATTTGTTAGAAAAGCTTAAAAGTTTTTATGTATGTGAACGAGAAATATGTGTAGATGAATCTCTTTTTATGGAAAGGGAATTTATCTTGGAAACAATATATATCTACAAAAAGAGCTAGATTTGGAATGAAGTTGTTTATTTTGAGTGAAAGCCAATCTGGATACGTACAAAATATAATTTTATACACAGGCAAGGACACAAATTATGGTTCGAACTACTCACAAGAAAAACAATCAACAAGAATTGTTTTGGAGTTAACACATGACTTACTGAATAAAGAGTATAGGATTTACTTAGATAATTTCTATACGTTAATTCATTTGGCTGAACTCTTGTGTCAAAACAATACAGACATTGTTGGAACAATGAGGATAAACAGAGTCGGAATCTCCAGTGAAATAAAAACAAAAAAATTACAGAAAAATGAACATATAGAAAGAATCAAAGACAAACTTATGGTTTTAAAATGGAAGGATAAAAAAGACGTATTGATGCTCAGTTCTATTCATAATGACGAAAAGACAATGATTGAAAAGAGAGGAAGAAGGCAAGAAAAACCGAATGTTGTCCTGGATTATAACAAGAATATGGGCGGTGTAGATTTGGGAGATGGAGTTATGGTGGCCTACATGGCTGCCCATAATAGGGTAAAAAAATATTATAAAATTTTTTTTCTACGATTAATTGATATGTGCTGCTTCAATGCATATATTATATACAAAAAAGATAAAGGTCATTTGGATCGATTACACTTTTCGATAGAGTGTGTAGAGAAATTGGTAGATAACAACACAGTGAAAACCCACCCAAAGACATCACAAGCAGCTCTACATCTAAACCATCACGCTTAGTTGAAAGGCATTTTCCAGAACAAATGAAAAGCGATATAGGAAAAACTAAATCCAGGAAATGCCGAGTTTGCTACAAAAAAGGTGTTAGGAAAGAATCTATATACTGGTGTCCAGATTGTAAGGTAGCACTATGTATCAACAATTGTTTTAGAATATATCACACGGAAGTTGAATTTTGAATTTTTACATCTATATTTCAATTTTTAAACTCAATATTTCTATTTTATTTGTGTGCTTTTGTTTATTGTTCTGTAATTGTTAACTTTTTTATATTTTTTATTGTGTATAGAAATTAAAAATACATTTTTTGTAATCTTTATAATTGTTTGTAAAATTTATAATTTTTTAATTCAATGTTTCCATTTTTTTGTTGGTATTCTTTTCTATTTGTAATTTTGTATTTTCCTTTGTGCTTTATATATAAACAAACGAAAATATATATATTTCATTTATTTTAATTAAGTATAAATTAAAAAAATTATGTCCACTGGGCATGACGTACTGACACGTCCTAGTGAAAGAGTATGCGCCCGTTGTACTTTGAGTAATTAAAAAGGGAACTCCCCAGTTAACAGGTTAAGAAGATTCATTGGTTTTTGACCTGAGTAATTGGTAGGATGGAGCAGGTTTTGGGGGCACCACCAAGAGTTTAATCTTGGATATGTAGAGTTTGAGGTAGTTGTTAAACATACAAGTGGGATTCTTAGGTGAATATTTAAGACTCCTGGAGTTAGGGAGAGATATAGCAGAAAGGTTAGTGTGTGTTAATAGTGGTTTTGCCATTAGCAGCAGCCAAATAGGGAGTGTGGATGTTCAGAAATTACTGGTGTTTAAATTACTATTTATAATTTAGAATTTTTGTCATTTAATTAGGACTACTCTTTTAGGAATAGATAGCTCAATGAAGTTTGCATTTCTATTTTCTATTTCTCTCAAACCATTCTTCCTGGTCAGGCAAGAATGAATAAATTAGGTGAAAGGTATAATTTTAGTATACATTTCTTTTTATTATGGTTAAACACTCTCAGTTTGAAAGTGTCTGGATATTTTGGGGGGTTACTAGAGTCTGCCCCAGAATACTTTGCAAATACTGCCAAACTCAGAGACATTCACAAAATAGGACAAGAAAACATTCTGAAGTGTTCTGGAAACTTCAGGGTGATCCTTGGAGACTCTTAATTGTGATATTACTACCATTACCTCCTTCCTTCCAGAACCTGAACTCACTAAAATTTGGATTAAAAAGTTGCCATGTTTTTCTGACATTTTCTAAATATGAACTACTTATGAAACTTGTTCAGCAGTCTTTTTTTTTTTTTTTTTCAGCAGTCTTATCTTTTTATTTCCATTTGTAGCCCCACTGGAGAGAGACTTTCATTATTGGTAGCCAGGTGGTTGCTACTCTGGGGGTGGATGCTATGGAAAGCATGTTGTCAACACTAGTGCTTGTATAATGTAGACTAATTGTGACTGCTTTTATTTCTCCTTTTAAAAAGGGAATATTTCTAATCCGCTTTTTGAATCATTTGGAGTTCTGATTATGTCTTTGAGTCATGTGGAAGTTTGACACATCAGCCTAGGGATATGTTGTAGTTTCATCGGTAGGGGGTCTGTGTGACTAAATAACTAGGTGTTCAGAGATTGGAACCTTCCTATGCTTTTTTAAAGCCTAGATATAGTGTGTGGGTTACCTGTTTTACAGAGAAAGGTGAGGAAATAGAGAAGTATCAGGGTATCTTACAGGGCTGGGAGGACCACCTTTTGTACAAAGTTACTCCTTCTCCCCTACTCCTTTTTAAAAAAGAGAGTGAAAAAGAGGACACTTACTCTTTTTTTGTTTCTCTTGTATAGGAGATGCATCGGAGATTTGAGAATGCCCCTGATTCTGCCAAGACAAAAGCTCTGCAAACTGTTATTGAAATGAAGGTAAGTAAGAATCTAATAATTTTATAAGTTATTTTATACATATAAGTGATCACACACTTTATGTGTGAGTTTTAGAAAGCAATAGCCTATATAATAAAGAGAATATGCAAGTTGACCATCACTCCAACACACAAGATGGCCGCCCTGATGTGGACACAAGATGGCTGCCACAAGATGACCAGCAGGGGAGGGCAGTTGTGGGCGATCAGGCCTGCAGGCAAGGACAGTTGGGGGCAACCAGGTCTGCAGGGGAGGGCAGTTAAGAGGGATTGGGCCTGCAGAGAAAGACAGTTGAGGGGTACCCAGGCCTGCAGGGAAGGGCAGTTGGGGCGGGGGGGGACCATGCCTGCAGGGGAGGGCAGTTAGTGGTGACCAGGTTGGCAAGGGAGGGCAGTTAGGGGTGACTGGGCCAGCATGGAGAGGGCAGATAGGGGCAGCTGGACTACAGTGGAGCAGTTAGGCATTGATCAGGCTGGCAGGGGAGTGGTTAGGGGTTGATCAGGCTGGCAGGCAGAAGTAGTTAGGGGCAATCAGGAAGGCAGGCAGGCAAGCACTTGGGAACCAGCAGCCATGGATTATGCAAGGGCAGTTGGACATCCCTTGAGAGGTCCCAGATTGGAGAGGGTGCAGGCTGGGCTGAAGGACAACACCTCCCTCCCTCCCCCCCCTGCTCCCCATGCACAGATTTCATGCACTGGGCCTCTAGTCCTATATAATAAAAAGGGTTATATGCAAATTGACCTTAAGGGTGGAATGACTGGGAATAACCAGTCGCTGTGATGTGCACTGACCACCAGGGGGCAGACACTCAACACAGGAGCTGCCCCCAGGTGGTCAGTGCACTCCCACAGCAGGAACTCACAAACCAGGCTAACGGCTGGGAGTGCAGCAGTGGTGGCGGTGGCGATGGCAGGGCTAAGGATGTTCGATCCCCTGGGTAACAGGCCTAAGCTGGCAGGTGGACATCTCCTAAGGGTTTCTGGGCTGCAAGAGGGCACAGGCTGGGCTGAGGACCACCCCCCACAAGTGCATGAATTTTTGTGCACCAGGCCTCTAGTGTAATAATATTTTACTCATTTTATAAATTGAAAAGAAAATGAGACTTAATGAAAATGACACTTTAAAAGAACTTTACTCTCAGTTCCTTTTAATAGTAGCACATAACTCAAATTAGATGGAAAGGGTTGTCCAGATTTTCTTTCAGTTATTCTCAAACCTTTGATTTTAGGACCCCTTTATACTCTTAAAACAACAGGTTCATTTTCCTCATTTATAAAAAATGTCTGCTAAATATCAACTCTGAATAACCATAGTTTATCTTTTGTTCTTTCTATTATAATAAATATAGTTTTATATGAAAAAAGTTGCTAATTCAGCTTGCAATTAAAAGAAGCACACAGTACTGTTCCTGGGGACAGTCACCATACTTCTTACAGCAGAAGTGCCCGCCTAGTTCCTTCCCATTTTATCACCCAGAATATTAAAATGATGTGTGCTCAAAGCTTGAGATTTATTAAAAGTAATAAAGTAACAAGACATTAAGTTAAGCAAGCTTTAAAAATGTTTTTTTTTTTCTTTCTTTTTTTTTTTTTTTTCTCTGTGAATCTTGATACTGAAGAATACAATGACTAACTGTGGTTTGGTGCTATTGCCCTTTGTCGTAAGGCACATGTGATTTTGCCCACCATTGCTTTTATATCTTGATTAAAAATGTTAACACAATAGAAAAGGCAAATAAAGTGATGGTTTATTAAGAAAAAGTTTTGACTTTGTAGACTTAATGAAAGGGTCTGGGGGACATCCTCAAAGTTTCGTAGCCATTCTATGAAAACCTCTGCTTTAAATTGATGAGTAGGTTGAAATCTTTAGGCTGTATGGTATGGCAGTTGGTGATGAAGAGCTTGCCTTCAGAGATAAATTCCCTGGGTTCAAAATCAGGTTTTACTTGATTGTGTGACACAGAGCAAGTTACAGAACCTATCTACACCTCAATGTTTTATTAATAAACTAGAGGCCCGGTGCATGAAATTTGTGCATGGGGGGGGGGTGTTGTTCCTTAGCCCAGCCTTCACCCTCTCCAATCTGGGACCCCTCAAAGGATGTCCTAGTGCCGGTTTACAGGGATTGGGCCTAAACCAGGAGTCGGACATCCCTCTCGCAATCCAAGACTGCTGGCTCCTAACCACTTACCTGCCTGCCTGCCTGCCTGATTGCCCCTAATCATTCTGCCTACTGACCTGCTCAACTCCAACTGCTCCCTACTGTTGGCCTGCTTGCCCCCAAATGCCCCCCTGCCAGCCTGATCACCCCCACTGCCCCCCACCCCCCGTCCTTGGCAAACTCCTGTAGGGGCTTTGTAGAGGTGGAATCTGTCTGTGCGATGTGCTGGAGTTCCTCGCTGAAGGCTATTTTACCTTGTGTGGAGTATCAATGATGCTAGAAAAACATGCCCTTCTTCCTCTGGCCCTCTTTCATTACCACCCAGGCTAATGTCTGAGGTGAACCATGTTTCATTTTCTTTCATTTGCGGATTAATCACATGCATATGCAATTTTAGTCATTCTTGAAGGACTGCATCCTAATATTTCCAGGAAGATTTATAGTCAGTTCAAAAGTGAATTTTCAGATAGTACAATTGAAGTAGTTGCCTAAGGCTCAATAATTTTAAATAAGTAAAATCCTGGATTAGGTTTAGAATATCTCTAATTGTACTGATTAATATATTTCCTTTAGAATCAAATATAAGTTTAATTTGAATAGATTTGTAAAAGAAAATTTCTGTAGTGATAATTTTAAAGGTTATGTAATGTAAGACAGAAGAATACATGTTCTTCCATTCCCCTGAACCTAAAAATAGCTGGTTGTAGTTGTCTCATGATAAATCCTTTAACTTTTGTCTACATGATAACAAGGAGAGTCAGTCTAGCAATCCTTGAGCTAAAGTTTAACAGGAAATCATTCTCAAAATTACCTTCCAAAGGAATGTTTTTTTTAAAAATCCCAAATAAAATAAAGCCTACACTTAATTGACATATTTTAAGATCTTTATTTCTTAGATCAGGGATGGGGAATGTCCAACTCACAGATTACATAAAGTCTGTGAAATCATTTGGTCTGGCCCTCCCAAGGGATTAGGGATGAATTAATTAAATACTTGACCAAGTAAGAAAAATACTGCTGAATACTTCGGGAAGCTTATGGTGAACATGCTCCATCTCAAGATACTTGTGAACACTGGTTTAAATTCTTTAAAAGTGATGATTTTGATGTGAAAGACAAAGACATCCAGGTCAACTGAAAAAGTTTAAACAACAACAATTGCAAGCATTATTGGGTGAAGATGCATGTCAAACTTAAAAACAACTTGCAGAAAAATTTAACGTTGTTCAGCAATTTCCATTCATTTACAATCAATGGGAAAGATTTTAAAGGAAGGAAATGGGTGCCACATCAACTGAACGAAAGACAAATAGAAAACCAAAAAGTCATCAGTAAAATGTTGCTTCAACAAGATGAAAGTCTTTTTTTGCATCGAATTGTGAATGGCGATGAAAAGTGGATTTATTTTGAGAATCCCAAATGCACAAAATCATGGATTGACCCAGGTCAATCATCAACATCGACTACAACGCAACTATCAACATTGACTGCAAGGCCAAATTGCTTCAGAAAGAAGACAATGGTGTGTATTTGGTGGCATTAGGAAGGTGGTGGTGTATTGTGAGCTTCTAGAACCGTTAATAATGATCCTACCGACAACAATCTGTTTGAACCACGCTTTGATTGTGAAACGACCAGAATGTTCCAGAAGACACGGCAAAGTAATTTTGTTTCATGATAATGCACCATCACACACTTCAAAACCAGTTAAAGACATGTTAAAAGATCTTGCCTGCAAGTATTAACGCACCTGCTGTATTCACCAGACCTTGCCACTTGTTCCGATCGAAGGTACTCGCACTTTCTGAGCAGCACTTTAAAACACGAAGAAGTGGAAAATTGGGTCTCTGAATGGTTTGCCTCAAAACAAGAAAAGCTCTAGTGGATGGTATCCACAAATTACCTGAAAGATGGTGGAAATGTGTAGCTAGCAATGGACATTACTTTGAATAAAGCACTTTTGATGTTTCTCTTGAAATTATCGTGTTTTCTTTTATTACAAAATCCGCCATTATCAACCGGCACACCTCGTAAGGAAAAGTTTATGAGTATGATAAACTGTAACTGTTAATGTAATTTTTTATTTCTTTGCTTTTCTGCTGCTATAGGTTATAAAGTCTTAATTATTATATGATAAGTATAGTTACACACATCATTGTATAAATCTTTGGAATCCTCTTAAACATCTCCCCCTTCTCTGTGAGCAGAAATAAACCCTTTAGGAGTCACAGTAATAGGATAAGTTATTATATCTGTAAAAGGTTTTACTGTTAATATTACAGAAGTTTTCACTACATATCTATTGACCATAAAGTACAGAAAACTTTAACCAGTTTTCCATTGCTTTTATTTCTTTAGTTAATTCTCTTTAATTGAAGGGTATAGATGAGAGGAAGAGATAAAAGAAAAATCACATTACAGATGAGTCTTCCTCCTTCCATTCAAATTACCATAAAGGATATATTTTAGAAGTAAGGTACCAGTTGCTAAATAGCAATTCCCTTGCATAATTATTTTTATTAAATGTAGCACCTCTAACACTGGGTTGTTTAACTTCTCTAATTTTTCATGACTACTTTAATGTGTAAATCTTCCATTGTCCTCAGGATTCAAAAATTTCCTCTATGGAGCGTGGGCTCCGAGACTTGGAAGAGGAAATTCAGATGCTGAAATCAAATGGGGCTCTGAGTACTGAAGAACGGGAGGAAGAAATGAAGCAAATGGAGGTCTATCGGAGTCATTCTAAATTCATGAAAAATAAGGTAATGGAATGTGATAGTGTAATTTTAAAAAGAGGTTTGAAAAATTGATGCTTGTTCCTACATCCTTACTGCTGATGAAGCACTTCACACTGTTTTATCAGACTTAAGGGAAGAATACCTCTAAGATAATTCTTTCAAGTAGTAATTGCTTGAATTAAAGTCAGAATTACAAATGTTCTATAGTTCTTTCAAGTTTTCACTTAAAACAAAATGACCTGTATGAAGCAAAGTATATATTATTATAGTTTAACATTTCATGTCTATCAATATTGCTGAGATGATTTAGTAGAATTACATCCAGATGAGGTTTTCTCACTATATGAGGCATTTAGTTCTCTACCTTTTGTTAAGTATTTTAAAACTTAAAACCCTAAGAAGCTGAACCCAGTACACACTCACCCCCCATCCAGATATAGCTGAAATAAAATCATGTTTTTTTTCTTCAAATACAGTTCCATAAAGAAAAATCATTTGTTCTGTCCTTTGGAGAAAATCCATTTGTATCAGGTTTATTGTTTCCCATGTGTGTTTCAGTTATATATGAAGTAAGATAAGTATCACATGTCTGTCTATACTTATAAATTCAATCACAATATTCCTTCCTTAGATTTAAAGCCATTTAGATTCTATGAACTATTTAGGCACATTGGAGTGTTTAGTTCATTTTAATTGCCAATTTACAGTTTTGTTGTGGTTTAATTGAAGACCATACTTGTAATTATAAAATACTAGTGGCCTGGTACATGGATTCATGCACTTGTGGGTGGGAGGTGTCTGTCTCTCAGTCCAGTCTGCGTCCTCTTGCACTCTGGGAGTCCTTGAGGGATGTCTGACTGATGGCTTATCGTGCCGCAGAGGCAGGAGAGGCTCCCACCTCTGCTGTTGCGCTCACCAGCTGTGAGCCCAGCTTCTGGCTGAGCAGCGCTCCCCCATGGAGTTCAATGCAGCTCTTGCATTGAACGTCTGCCCCCTGGTGGTCAATGCACGTCATAGTGACTGGTCGATTTGCCATTCAGTCTATTTGCATGTTAGCCTTTTATTATATAGGATTGCCAGTGCCTGTCATATGTACTGGCCAGTTGGTGGCATGCAGTTGATGCAAGTGAGAGCCTTGTATGTATCATATGTGGGAGTCAATGTTGTGCATCATATGTACTGGCCAGTTGGTCCGATGGTTGGATGATGTATAGTTGGTCACTTAGCCTTTTTTATATATAGATCATCTAGAAAATAAGTATCCCCTTTCCTCCTGCCATATCCTAATTATATTATTCTCCGATTTCTCAGAAGTGCAATTTGTAAGGGAATGACACAATTAAAATCCTCCCTCCTGTTTCTTTCTTTCTTTCTTTTTTTTTTTTTAAAGTATATTTTATTGATTTTCACAGAGAGGAAGGGAAAAGAATAAAGAGTCAGAAACATCGATGAGAGAGAAACCCATTGATCAGCTGCCTCCTGCACAGCCCCTACTGGGGATGTGCCCTTAACCAAGGCATATGCCTTTAACTGGAATCAAACCCAGGACCCCTCAGTCTGCAGGCCAGCACTCCATCCACTGAGCCAAATCGGTTAGGGCTGTTTCTGACTTCTTACTGTGGTACGAATACCTGGCATATAAATCTGTAGAATATTCCATTATTTTAAGAATCTGTTGTTAATGACATGACTACTGCCAATTTCATGTTAATTTGAAACTTAAAAATTCACATAGTCAAACTTTCTATTAGTTTGCATTTTTCGTCCTAATTTGAGAAAAAATACTCAGCAATATAAGTTCTCATTTGTTGATTAGCACATTTCAGTTAATTTTAAAAACTCTGTGAAAATAGAGAAACCATCCAGGGACCTTTGAAGAGGAGACTAGGGAAACAGATTTGATTGGGTTATATGTTACTGTTACTTCCAGTTCCTGCTCTGGCTCAAAAGCAGATAAGATCCAAGTTGACACATAAATAAAAAAGAATAATAATGTCGTGACAGGTAGAACAACTGAAGGAGGAACTAAGTTCGAAAGAGGCTCAAGGGGAGGAGCTGAAAAAGAGAGCGGCTGGTCTTCAGGCTGAGGTCTTTGCCGTAAGATTTACCCTTTTGTGTGCAGTGATCCCACAGTGGGACCCTGCTAGCTCTGGCTTCTGGGTGGCTTATACTTTCATGTCCTATGGTTGGCAGCTTTGCCCAGTACTAGCACTAACCAGCCTGCTCTGCTCTTTAACCAACTCCTGTTCAGCAGTTTGAACCATATGTCACTTGTGTGCAGTGAGCTGTCACATGTTCTGGAAGCCCTATACTTGGTTCTTTAATGTTCCTCTTGACACTGTATGGATGGTACTCCAAAGCTTGTTTATTCTCAACTCCTTTCCTGTTACTAGAGGCTTGTTGGTTTACATAAATGGTAGTTTCCTTTTCTTCTTAGATATATACAGTTGTTCTAGGTCCATCACATAGTATTTATTTGAATTTGAAATTCTTGAGTAAAGTGCTTTATCTTCATATGTAGACATCGTCTTAAAGTCTCCATTTGGTGGTTTTGCAACATTTAAACAGTGATTTGTTGTATAAACAGTGATTAGAGTTATTTAGTCTTATCTAGTAAATTAGATAAAGTCTCTAGATCAAATTCAATTTTCTTTTTAAAAAAAAATACATTTATTGATTTTTTACAGAGAGGAAGAGAGAGGGATAGAGTTAGAAACATCGATGAGAGAGAATCATCGATCAGCTGCCTCTTGCACACCCCTTACTGGGGATGTGCCCACAACCAAGGTACATGCCCTTGACTGGAATTGAACCTGGGACCTTTCAGTCCGCAGGCCGATGCTCTATCCACTGAGCCAAACCTGTTTTGGCCAAATTCAATTTTCTTTCTAAAAAACTTAAAATTCATTTCAAAATATAATAAAATAGCAACACTTGAGCACTTATTATAAACATTTTATAACCTACTAAGTAGGTAAATTATCAACCTCAATTTACAGATGAGGACATTGAGGTAACAGGGTGGTGCTGAGGATACATAGCCAGTAAGTTAGAGTTTGATTTTTACATAAATAATCTGGTTCCAGAACCTGTGCTGATAAGCTCTTCACTCTACTGCCCTATACTAGGCTGTGCACACATTTGTTACACAAGTGTTAGAAAAAACCACTCTGAAAACAATTGTGGGGTAAGATTAGAATGCAGCATTAAAAAAAACCTTATGCTAATTTGTTGTGTTTGCTGTTTATGGACCACTTTATAGTACAGGGAGAGAAGTGAAACGTTTTATCTGAAAGGTAACCATGTATTGTCTAGAGGAGCCATAACTTCTTTTTTTCTCAGCTACTATTAAGTAATTTATTTTTGTGTCAAACAACAGGCTAATCACATTCCATACATTATTTTATTTAATCTTAAACAACATAGTGGCATTGGTTCACTTTCTCCTTATTACTGATTTAGGAAACCAAGGCGTGTACTCCTTGTGCTTCTAACTTTTAAGCACAATTTGTTCTTCTAAACTCTGCTTTCCATTTAGAATATTTTCTTCCTTTTCTCAGTCTTTATGATCAATATAACATAATTTGAAAATTCATAATGAAAGGAAACCGAGATTCTATATTTATTTTTGATCACATGACTAGAGTTAGCTGGAAATTTGAGTAATCTTTAAGCCATAGTTCTTTAGCTGAGGAAGTGATAACACTTTGAACATTTCTCCTAAATATTCCTTCATACAACAAATATGTTTTTAGTGCATTCTGTATGTTAGTAATAGGATAATACTAATCTTTGATGTTTGTTGGTAAAGGGATATCATGAAAGACACTATACCATTCCAGGATGTGGTAACTCCTATATATAACAGGATGAAAATAGAAGCTATTTATCTTCCACTGATGTCCTTAGTATCCTAAAATATTTTGCATGCAAAAAGTACACAAATATTTGTTGAATGAATAACTATATCTGTAAATGTCTTCTTGTGAAATAGAAGAATAAATTAGAAATTTATTATTATTATTTTTTTATTTTTATTTTTAAAATATATTTTATTGATTTTTTACAGAGAGGAAGGGAGAGAGATAGAGAGCTAGAAACGTCGATGAGAGAGAAACATCAACCAGCTGCCTCTTGCACACCCCGGGGATGTGCCCGCAAGCAATGTACATGCCCTTTGACCGGAATTGAACCTGGGACCTTTCAGTCCGCAGACCGACGCTCTACCACTGAGCCAAACCAGCTTCGGCTAGAAATTTATTTTTAGGGCTTTTAAAAAGTCTAATTTTAATTAGAGTAAAATTTAATTTTTATTCATGGAAAATTTTTTTGAAAAGATTTGTCCATTATACCTAAGGTTAATATAATAAAATACTTTACATATATTTTCTTTAGAAAAATAAAAAGTACTTTTCCTTTCATCAGTGATACTGAAATTATTGACCTCTTGTCATATTTCTACTTCTAGTAATTAATTTGTCTTTCAGTGCACAGTTACCTTCCTAAGCAGTAGACATAATGTAAAAGCAGGTTGAATTTCTACTACTTTGACTTACATTTAGAATAAAAGACTATTTAAAAATTTTTTTAGAAACACAGAAATGCAAAGGTGATGTTACAAATGAATATTTTCTAAGTTAAGATGAAAGAAATATATAGGAGAATGAATAATCCTATTGATTTATTGATTAATTACTCTGTCAAATTACACATGTAGATTCTTATAGAATGAGATTTATTCATTTTCATTTAGGTCATCTTCATTTAGTTAGAATGGCATATTATAGGTGATATATAATAATTTTGTAGGTGAAATATTTTTTTAGGTCAATACTCCCAACTCATCAAAATTATAAATATTTAAAAGCACATATTTATAATGTCTTATAATACAAAGTGGATTTTAAGATAAAGATTTTATGTAAACTTTTGAGAATGAAAAATCTTAATGAAAACAAAAATATAGCACAGTCAACGTTTGATTTTAAATTTAAATAGCAATACTAGGAAGTGTTATTTTTTTTCCTTTATGAATTACATCAACACTAATTATGCTTTATGTTCTGAACAGGTCTGACTTCACGAAATGAAAAAAGTGTAGTTCATAGTCTTACTAGTGTGTCATAGTATTCTAATTGAATTGGAATTTTTCTCTTTCCATTCCTTTTCTAAGGGATTTAAAAAAATGTTTAAGAGACACAATAAATAAAACTGGAAATATCCCTATTAGTCAAATAAGCTTTGTGAATATCTAAGATTGGATGACGCAAAGAGATGAATTATGTTCTATCATAAAATTAATGATTAATGCTGCTTTTAGTTTCATATCTTATGACTTAGATTTGTCAAAGATCCAGATCAGGGGTGGGTATTTTATTTCTTTTTTTCTTACAGTATTTTGTTTTCTTCTATAGATTGGTCAGGTGAAGCAGGAGCTCTCCAGAAAGGATACAGAACTACTAGCTCTACAGACAAAGCTAGAAACACTTACGAACCAGTTCTCGGACAGTAAGCAACACATTGAAGTGCTGAAGGAATCCTTGACTGCTAAGGAACAAAGGGCTGCCATTCTGCAGACGGAGGTAAAAATAGTTTTGGTATTTGCAGGGATTTGATTCCTTGGCACCTTTTTATATGTATTACCTGTGCTCTTTTTGTTATATAGCTTAGATTGGGAGATAAGCATGATGTTATGATTAATTCTTTAACAATGTGAACAGTTATTATACTAAAACTAGAGACGTGGTGCACAAATTCATAGACCAGTGGGGTATCTCAGCCTGGCCTGCGCCCTCTTGCAATCCAAGACCCCTCGGGGGATGTGAGAGAGCCAGTTTTGGCCTAGTCCCACAGGCCAGGCCGAGGGACCCCACTGGTGCATGATCTGGGCTGGGGAAAGATGTTGGAGGTTGGCCAGCCAGGGAGGTACCACAGGAGGGCTCCGGGGCATGTCTGGCCTGTCCCTCTCAATTCTGATCAGCCAGACCTCAGCAGTAAGCTAACCTCCTGGTCAGAGTGTCTGCTCCCTGGTGGTTAGTGCATGCAAGCAGTTGAGCGGCCAAAGCATTTCATTAGCATATTACACTTTGATTGGTTGAATGGCCAATCAGTTGACCAGACACTTAGCATATTAGGCTTTTATTATATTGGATATAACCATTTTATTTTTGGATCTAGCAAATTAAAACTGGTACAATTTATTTGTTTTTACTAGAGGCCCAGGGCACAAATTTGTGCATGGGTAGAGTCCTGCCACCCCAGCCTCAATTGGGATGGATTGGGCCTGGGCCTTTTGGGAGGAGGAAATAGCGGGAAGTTGGCTGGCCTGCCTGCCTCAATTGGGGCCTATCAGGGCCGGCCTGGCTGGGGGGAGGGGCTATGGGTAATTGGCTGGTGGGCTCCACCCCCAATTGGGGTTGGGGGTCGATTGGGTGTGAGGAAAGCCATGGGGAAGGGCTGTGGGTGGTGGCTGGCTGGCCCCACTTTCAAATGGGGTGGGTGGTGCCAATCTGGGGCCAGTGGCCTGGGGAGGGGCTATGGGTGGTTGGGCCCTGATCGGGGTGTGGCTGCAGGAGGTTGGATAGCTGGCCCTCCTCTCTTTTGGGGTGGGGGAGGTGATCAGGGATGGAGCTGGCTGGGGGAGGAGCTGCAGGCCTATCAGAGTGGTGGGAGCCCATAGGGGTGAGGCTGGCCAGCCGGGAGGGGCTGCAGGAGGTTGGGTGGCCAGCCTCACCCTTGATCGGGGTGGGAGAGTCCACTATACTTTTGAGAACAATATCCTTTTGAGAACTGGGGAAAATGGGAAAAGAGCAGGTTTGAGCAGAGGAATAAGTAAAGCTACAATTCTGGCCAGGGATTAGCCTCAGCTAACCACATAGAGAGCTCTTGGGTCAATGGCGGAAAAAAAGGATATATATGTACCTGATTGGGTGGTTTGCTGGCTGCAGTGGGCGTCATAGCAACCGGTTGTTAAGAATTACAGTCACTGGCTTTTTATATATATAGATACCTACTTTGGACTTTCTCCAAGAATACTTTTAAGTTAGCATTATGAAATGAAAACATAGTTATAAAAAGGAAATTTACATGAAGGTTTTGTTCTTTACCATGGTGAATCTTCTGGTCATGAATGGCAGTGAGCTTGGTTATACCATGCTTGTATTATTAAGTGTTCTTAGTTTTTTATATTATAAAATAGCTTTAACTAGGCAAACTGAATCTAAAGATGTCCTAGATAGATCTTGTTTTGAACTATAGATCATTGATACTGTGCCTTCACATCCTGTTTGTTAGTATTTTTAGAAATCTTAGAATTGTCAGTCAGCCCTGATTTCAAGTAGGAATACTCTAAATATTTCTAGGCAGATGAGAATATCATGTTTGCAATGAGAAGAAATTGATAATGCTATTTGGATTTACTGTCTTAATGCAAATATCTTTTTAAAAATATATTTTTATTGATATCAGAGAGGAAAGGAGAGGGAGAGAGAGAGAGAAACATTGATGAGAGAGAATCATTAATAGGCTTTCTTCTGCCCAACCCTACTTGGGATTGAGCCTGCAGCCTGTGCATATGCCCTGGCTGGGAATCAAATTATAACTTTCTGGTTCATAGGCTGATGCTCAAATATGAGCCACACCAGCCAGGCAATGCAAATATTTCAATGAAATAGGTAATTTAGATAGGAATAGATACGTAGTTCTACTTTATAGAAGAAAAATAAAGCATACAGTATGGATTAGTTTTTTCTTTTAAAAAACAGATCATAAATAAATAAGGGCATAGTTTGATGGAAAAAAAATGGGGAGTAAAAAGAATGCATAAAAACTGTATCACAGATACCCAGAAGATCAGAATTTTTAAGGGAGATGGAATGTGAAAATGACCAAAACTATTTCATATAATATTTCGTACCATTTGGGATTTTGTTTAAAATTAGAGATTTGGATGACATATTTGTAATTTTCTTTATAACTTAAACTTTTTCTCTATTTTAATTATGTTTCATTTTATTATCATATCAACTCTATTTTAACTCAGAGGAATATTTTGGGTATAAATAAGTCTCACAGTTAATAAACATCACAGTTACTGCATTTGAATTTAGCCTTACTTACCACCCAGGTGCTAATCCTGGGCATGTTTTTTAACTTCATTGTATCTCACTTTACACATTTGTAAGATGATGCCTACCTCATATGGTTGTTGTTAGGAATGAACTAGTTTATTCATACTCAGTGTCTAGCACACAAAGTTATGTTATTGTAATTTTTATAATAGCGAATATATAAACTTGTAAAATATTAAGGGAACATAGTTTTTTTTTTCATGGGCATACATTTTATATAGAAGATTTGGTCTTTCATATTTTTTTAAATTTAAATTTAGGTTTATTAAGATATTTTTGAATATAAAATTATGTAGAAAATGTTAATTGTATTGTTATTAATTTATAATTTTATTAGCGTTTGCTACTTTAGTAACTGGTATGCATGCAGTACTCCAAAAGAGTCAGAAGAGGGTGTGAGTGTTTTAGACATGAGCCTGATTTCCAGATTTGCTCCTGTGATAGCTTTGGATGGTGCCTGCAGGGTGGGAAACAGAACCAGGCAGTTTGTTAATGATAATACAAACATTTAAATACTTGTCACATTCTAATAAATGACCCTTTCCTCTCGGCAATCCATCCTTTTCTTTGTATCCCTCTCAACTAGTGTTTTTATTCACTAGGTCTCACACAGATGGGCTTGTGATTGGTCTCTGGAACCATAGAGAATAAAGACTGTATTTGTGGTCATGCTTGAACTGTTTTTATATTTGTTTTTAGCCATTATGGCAGAAACTGAATTTCAGTGATTACCTCATAAGTTACTGGAACAACTGCTTAAATATGTCAGTCTCATCTTAAAATATAATACTGTATAACCTAACTTGCCTTTGAATTTTGAATGATTATATGTATGTATGTAATATACCTACCTATTAGCATTTGCTTTTTTATCTTAAATTAATCCAAAGGCACTTAACAAGAGTTACTTTTTCAAAAGCAACATTATCATGTTAGAGCCCATAATAGGTAGTTTGAACCAACTCTGAAAATTCTCATATATTTCTGTAATTTGATATTGATTTTATCTTTCTGCAACTACCCTAGACTTTGATTTAACTTTCAAATCACCAAATTCAGCACATATGAAAAAGAACACGTATAAAAGATTTTTTATTTTATTTTAAAATTCATTAAGCAAAGAAGGGATATTAGAAAAGATATGATTTTCCAATGCTTTTTCTGCTTCTGTTGATATGATCATGTGGTTTTTATCTTTCAATTTGTTTATGATGTATTGAATTTATTGATTTGCAAATATTGTACCATCTCAAGAATAAATCTTACTCTATCATGTTGTATCATCTTTTTAATATATTGATGGATCCCAGTTGCTAATATTTTGTTAAGGATTTTAGCATCTGTGTTCATTAGTGTGATATTGGCTTGTAATTTTCTTTTTTTCTTTTTTTTTTTAAAATATATTTTATTGATTTTTTACAGAGAGGAGGAGAGAGGGATAGAGAGCTAGAAACATCGATGAGAAAGAAACATCGACCAGCTGCCTCTTGCACACCCCCTACTGGGGATGCGCCCGCAACCAAGGTACATGCCCTTAACCGGAATCGAACCTGGGACCTTTCAGTCCACAGACCGACGCTCTACCACTGAGCCAAACCGGTTTCGGCATTGTAATTTTCTTTCTTTATAGTGTCTTTAACTGATTTTGGAATTAGCATAATGCTGGCTTCTTAAAAAGGGCTTGGAAGTGTTCCTTTCTCTTAAAGACTTTTTGGAATAGTTTGAGGAAGACAAGTATTAGTTTTTCTTTGAATGTTTGCTAAAATTCAATTGGTCCAGGATTTTTGTTTGCTGGAAGTTTTTAAATTACTGCTTCAATTTCATCAGTTGTTATGGGCCTACTCAGGTTTTTCTGATTTTTCCTGATTGACTTTTGGAAGATTGCATGTTTCTAGGAATTTGTCCATTTCACCCAGGTTGTCCAGTTTGTTGGCATATAGTTGTTCATAGTATTTGCTTACAATCCTTTGTATTTCTGTAGTGTTCATTATATCACCTTTTAAATTTCTGATTTTATTTATTTGGGTTCTCTCTCTTTGCTTCTTGATGAGTCTGGCTAGGAGTTCATCAATCTTATCTTTTCAAAGAACAAGCTCTTGGATGTATTGATCTTTTTAAAGTCTCTATATCATGTATTTCCACTCTGATTTTTATTATTTCCTTCTTTCTACTTCCTCTGGGCTTTTCTTTCTGTTCTCTTCTTAATTCATTTAGTCATAGGTTAGATAGTTTATTAATCTTTTTTTGTTTCTTGAGGTAGACCTGCAGTGCTATAAACTTCCCTCTCATTACTGCTTTCACCGTGTCCCATAGGTTTTGGGTGGTTATGTGTACATTTTCATTTGTTTCTAGGAAGTTTTTAATTTCTTGCTTGATCTGATTGGTAATCCATTCTTTGTTTAATAACATGCTAGTTAGCCTCCATGTATTTGAGTGTTTTTGAATTTTTTTAT